ATTTTCTTCATTGCCTTCGAGAATATCTGGAACAAATAAAATGTAGCACTATTGAAAATCATGTATTTTTAGGAGATATTAACATTAATATATTAAATGCACATGAATCCTCAGACTACATGGATGTGATGGTAGAATTGAATTTCAATTCTCTAATAAATGTACCTACACGTATTAAAACATGTTTGGATCATGTATTTTTAAAAAGCAAAATATCTAATTTAGAAGAAAATATATTAGCATTAACATTTGATGCTGCTACACTTAAAACAACCACCTCAGGGGCGATTGTCAACAGTGGCAAGGGTTTCCAAATGTCCTAGTGACAATTGGGTATTTCACCGCGACAAGCTCAAAGCCGGAGAAGGAGTGGTCCGATAATTACTGTTGTAAGGGAGGCGCCAGGTTTAATTTGACGGCTAAATACCCTCCAGAGGTTGAACCAACCACCAAATTACCAAATTGGCTGGTTCCTAGACTTAGGGTCTAATTAATCAAACTAGGCAACTGTAAAACAGAATAAAACTAGCAGAGTTTAGTTGGCTGTATCTTTAATAATATAAATAGAAATTAAATAATCATTACCCCCTTTGGCAATCTACATGTAACTTGAAACCAGACAGTGCTTCCTAAATTTTACCAAATAAGTTACCAGAATTAGCACAAGTTTATAACAATATAATATAGTTGTACTCCCGAAATTTGTACAAGTATGACAAATACACTATAAGGATACCTAAACTTAATCTAACTTAACAACTATACTACGTGTATGAGCTCATAACGTGTTTATGCAATTATATTTACAACACACTCTAGAAACTAGATAGATTCCTTAATTTAACACGTTATGCCAATGAGAACACGATGATCCCAAAATATATATACATAAATTACTTGGCTTGGTATCGCTCACTCAGTTTTCAACCGATGAAAACAAGTTGCTGAAGGCTAATTAAACTATAAATACCTCACTTGGACGTTGGTTGTTTACTCACTAGTCTGACGATTAGGTAAACTGTCAGATAGGACAGTTGGTGGTTTTTGGCAACTGTATACTTCAAACTGCCACTTGATACCCACAATGATACAGTCCAGCTTCAGCTCTACGAGAATAAGCTACTGGCAAACCAAAACGAGACAAACCATATACAGAATAGAAATCCAAGTCAAATATCCGTTGTCAGGAATCTCCTTATTCTAATCATAAATCCAAGACAAAACGGCGTACTCACTGCATTCCTCAGAACTTATAGAAAGACAAAAACCCTAAAAAGACCATCAAGTGAATAACATGTTACAGATAAACTAAACCCCAGACACTTAACAGTATAAGTGTATCTTTAATGATATAAAATTTAACAGCCCCCCCTGCTGTAATGAAATTCTCATTAAATACTTATAAACAGGTAGGAATATGCTCTTACTCGAGCCAATTTAAACATAGAAAAACAAATATAATTAAATACATA